ATCATTAGATGAAAGGAAATAATGTAAATAATAAAAGGAAGGAAGATGCAGAAAAAAAAGAAAAAATAAGATTAGAAGAGGAAAACAAAGTAACATCGTTTGAGCATTTTACAGCGGAAGTGGTGGGAAAGTTAAAGGGTTGTGGAATTTATGACTGGTCTGTGTTTATGAATGACAATATTTGTATAGTTTATAAGTTACAAGCGAATGACATACCTAAAGTTACCAGTAGTATTAGGATTAACAATAATCTGGATGTTGAAGTCCACATAAATGGCAGCATCATCCAAAATAACCTAGTCAGTATAAATGCTGATGTACCAATTTTGAGGACATCTCATTTATATCAATGGAGTCAATTGATACAAGTTATTCAATTTTGTACAGACTACAGCCAAGGTATGAATAGAGATGATAAAAGAATACTCATAGCTCAAATAACAGATCTTTTGACAAGGTTGAAAGTGGAAATAGAAAACAGTTCTGACGATAGTGCGGATGTGATTTCAAAGAAGCTAACTTTTCTTATAGATCAATTTTCACTTATTTTCCTTAACAAACCACGGTACTCTGTAGCCACAATATTAAATTCTTTTCTTATTTACATGCAGTCTGTCAAATGTTATAATGCAATTAGGTTCAATCATATAATGACTCTTCCTCATCCAAGGTTTTTGCAAAAATTATCATCATCATTTCAGATATCCCCCAATCAAAGTAAAGGAAATGAAAACTTTTTAAAGAGCCTATCCAAAAACTTTTCAAACTTAGAAAAAATTGTAAGTTTGCAAATAGACGAAATTCATGTAAAACAAAGTTTGGATTTCAAAAATGGAAATTTTTACGGTTTTGCTCAAAATGATGGGGATAATTTAGCTAAAACTATTGTTGCTTTTTTAGTAAACTCAGTTTTTGGAAGTATGAAGGAAGTGATAAAGCTAATACCTGTTAAACAGTTAAAGGGTTCCGAATTAGCAGAAATGACCAAGCAAGCAATACATATGATTCAAGACAGTGGTCTGACGGTTTTAAGTATAGTCAGTGATAACAATGGTGTTAATCGTGTAATGTTTAATGAACTAACTAAAAATTCTGCAAGTCAACATTATTTTCAAGTACCGGGAAGTCCTTACAAAACATTTGTATTGTATGATAGTGTTCACATTCTCAAAAACATCAGAAATAATTGGTTGAACCAAAAAGATCTACACAAAACATTTGTATTTCCAGTATGGCCAAATGATGATTTAATTGATTGTAATGATGTACCAAGCACTAATTTCAGTAATTTCGAAGAATTTACAGAAGCACAATTCAAAGATGTAAGGGATATATATAGAATGGAATGCAATTCTCTCGTTAGGTCTGCACCCAAGCTTTCGTTCAAGACTGTTTACCCAAACTCCTTAGAACGCCAAAAGGTTTCCTTGGCTGTAAATGTTTTCCACGAATCCACACTTGCTTCCTTAAATAAATATGGACTCAATGGAAGTGCAATGTTTGTTAAAATTATCTTGACATGGTGGACTATTGTTAATACTAAACGGCCTTTGACACACGTATTGAAACGAAATAAGCTCCAAAAGCCATTTGATTCCGAAGATGATGATAGGTTAGTTTTTTTTTAAAGATTTGTTGATTGGCTAGTCAAATGGAAGGAAAACTCTTTAAAGAACTCATCCGCTGGCTGTTTGACTGATGAAACGTATAACGCCATTTTTCAGACCACCAATGTGTATAGGGAATTAATAATTTACGCACTAAGTTTTTTAAAACCTAAGTACATTCTTCTTGGAAAATTCCAGACAGACAATTTAGAATCAAGATTTGGACAGTATCGACAATTAGCAGGTGGAAATTACAATATTTCAACAATTCAAGTAATGGAAGCAGAAAAAAAAATTAGAATCAAAAGTGTCTTAGGTATTCATTCGGCTAGGTATGGCCCTGTGACATTTTCACCAGAAATGCTCAATTAACATGATGAAACCGAACTTGAGTGTAGACCTAATCGGCAGCAAGTTCTACCAAACCCTAATTTTGAACTTGAAAATTCATTTTACGAGATTCTAGAATTAGATTTTAATGAATATGATAAAGTTGATGAATCTGTCATCATCTACATCGTCCACAAAATTGTTTCAAAAATCAAATGCGAAGAATGTTCAGAGTTATTGAATTCTAGAAATTGCAATGATGATTATTTCTTTGACATAAACAGAGGAGGTCTTAGTGTACCCTCAGAAATAGTAATGGTGATTTGTAGACAGGTAATAGGGGTTGTGCAAAGCCTTATATCAGAAAAGTTTGAAAGCTCCTTTTTAATTAATAATGAAAATCAACGGAACATAGTTACAGAACTTAGCATTCTAAGAATTGAATCAGATGCTGAACTTGGTGAGCTTCTTGAAAAAGTATGTTCTTGTGGCATTTCGTATAGCTCATTGATTAGAAAAATTATCGTCACTATGAGCAACATTTTACTTAACAACTATTAAAAAAAAAAGAAATGAAAAGGTTGTGTCACATGCAAATAAAAGAAAGATTGCAATACTGACTAAGTAAAAAAAAAACTATGAATAATTGGTTTTCATCTCTGAAAAATTAAAGTATTTATGTACGGTACATAAAATCATAGCCTAACTACAAAGTTAAAATACATTTATGATTTTTAAATGAAAAGCTTTTTTAAGTATAGGCCTACAGCTTTTGCAAGTTATTAATATTGTTATTTTGAAAACAGATTTTACTATAATAAGCTTTGTCTATTCGACACAGTAACAAAAAAAAATTAAAATTTATAATATAAATAATATGTAACTCCTGGAAAAACCGCTAAGGCAATGTCATCTCACAAGGTGGAGGTGATAAAAGGCTACGTGCCCAACTGTTCTTTACGAAAGACAGTTACGTGAACTGTCTTTTTCAAGACAGTTCTGTAGAAGGGTTTACTCCATACCACAGTCCTTGTTTGTGTGACCAAGGCTGTGGGAACCTCTTTCCCTTCAGTGGTTCTCATTACATTACACTTCACTTAAGAGTAATTTGCATCATACACAAATTTTAAATGAACAAATCTGTAAAATATACAAACTTACCTTATCCAATTACATTTTTTTTTAACTTCCTTTTTTTCAATATAAAATTTGTTTCTACCTTTAAAAAATTACTTAATGGTTTTAAATAACAAATTAATAAGTTCACTGCAACAATTTTTTAGGCATTGCTAAGAATGTAAAAGAATTGGCTAGGAAAAGGGTCATATAACAAAGAAATATCAAAGCTAATTCACTAAATTCATATAAGTTTAAATAACATTGAATTTATTCTGTGGGTATTAATTATTAATTCATTATTTTCATAATTTAAATTATAACATTAATCTCTGAATAACAAAGTTCATTGAGAACCACTGTCTTAAAAAATTGAGTGACCTCCAAGATGGTGGAGAGGTTGACGTTCCTTTGGAGGCTTTTTTACTAACATCCACTAGTCACACATCATTCCTACAAGTTATTTATGTACAAAATAGTAAAAATTATTACTTGTAACAAAATCAAAAAACAAATAGAAACTCAACTTTATTTTTGCCAATTTAGATTTAATTTTTTTTCCATTGTGATGGAATTTCATGTAAACTTACATTTATTCAGGAAAACCATGACTGATATAAAAAAAGTCTTATAAATGTTGCAGCTTAATCGTTTATGGGTCTATTTTTTATTTATATTAAACATGTTACTAAATTGAATTTTCTTGTAGCAGCAAGTTAGGTACTTGTTAAACCTATTATTTAAATAAATTTAATTTAAAATCAATTCAGGCAAATGGAAATTCGCTTAGACGGCAGGTTTGCTGCGGCGGGGGTATTTTTATATATATCTAGTTCTTGGCTCAAGTAATTAACACTTTATGAAACAAAAGATATAGCTTAGAAGTATTGAAAAGTCTTTTATAAAAATATTCCATACTTTTTAGGTTGAAGTGTTTATAATCTATAAGTATAAAAGAGGATGTTTGTATATATATATATTTGTTTGTTTGGCAGTGATAAACTCAGACACCGCTGAACCGATTGCCACGAAACTTGGTACATACGTGTAGAATGTCATGGAATAGGTTTATACACCATCAATTTCGTGATCCGTCCAATCGGCTCCGCCCCAGTGGCTCTGGAGTTTCCCATGTTAACCTTATGAGAAATGGAATTAATGAATCTTAACAGCTGTTTCAATTAAACAAGTTGGTTCTGTTCTTGATGTTCAATAGCATTAAAGTTACAAGGATTACCAACAGGGTGCAGCACTATTATTTCTTTTACATTTATGACAACGGCTAATTTGCAACCAAAAGGTGAGTGAGCATAGCGAACGAACTTCAACCTGGAGGCGAGTTAGCGTAGTGAACGAGCTAACCTGAAGGCAAGTGAGCGTAGCGAACGAGCAAACCCGAAGGCAAGTGAGCGCAGCGAACGAGCTCCAACCTAAAGGTGAGTGAGCGTAGCGAACGAGCTCTAACCTAAAAGTGAGCGAACGAACTTCAACCAGGACGTGATTGTATCCTATAAAGGCCATAAAGGTTAAATTTTGTTTTAAAAGGCTTATGTGTAACTATTTTATCAACAGATGTAAAGTTTAAAATGTTTCTATTTCGTGTTCTCTTCCCGTTGCAAAGCACGGGTACAACAGCTAGTATTGTATAAAAGTCCAAATAACTCCACAATCACATAAAATAATCTAGGTAACTGAATAGCTCCATTTTAATACATGGTTTATAAAATATACTTAGGTGATTTTCTGTTTTGTTTTGAAAACATGAAACTAAGGGTAAACAATATTACTAGCAAAAAGTTATCGTCAGTACAGTTTGAATTACACAAACTATTATTTGTTTTACTTGGTATTAAGTTTTAGTTCTGTTTGATCTATAAAATTTTATAGATCAAACAGAACGGTTCATAAATTTTAAAAATCTGAAAAATTTAGAGAAAAAACTAGAAGTTATTTGATAAACTCATTTTTATTTACATAAATTTCAAAAGTTAATCACTTTTACAAACTAAGAAACTTCTTTTAACAAAGGAATCTCATCAACTTGATCCATTCCAACGGCAGGTTTTATTATCTGAAATAAGAACAAAAAATATTTATAGAGCATTAATTAATAAACAATTACAGTACTAGAAATTATTGGATATAGGCCTATATAAAAGGCAAAGCCCTCACTGACTGACTGGCTCACTCACTCATCACTAATTCTCCCACTTCCCATTTAACTAGGAGGCTGAAATTCAGTACACCGATTCTTTGGGCATTAAATAGGAGAACTAAGTAGTTTTTATTCTGATCGAGCATTCGGGCTCCGCCCCAGTGGCTCTGGAGTTTGACATGTTAACCTTATGATTTTTCACATTTAAAAGGAATTTCTTAACAGCTGTTTCAATTAAACAAGTTGGTTCTGTTCTATGATGTTCAATAGCATTAAAGTTACAAGGATCACCAACAGGGTGCAGCACTATTATTTTTTTAAATTTATGACTACAGCCAATTTGCAACCCAAAGGTGAGTGAGCGTAGCAAACGAACTTCAACCCGGACGTGATTGAGCCATGCGAACAAGCTCACTTGTGAAGTTAAACGGGACAAAGCCCGCGGGTACAGCTAGTGAGCTAGTTGGATATATATCTGGCTGAAAAAAATTAAAATGTTAATTCTCAAGCTAACACTACAACAACTAACTACACTCCAAAGTATCTAATGAATATTAATAAAATCATGTCGACCTAATAAACTCTATTAGTTCTCCACACCATCTAGGTACAATCTATTTTCAATTTATTCATATTTGCAACCTTAGTGGAACATTTTTACAGAATTTCAAAGTTGTAGCTCAAACAGTTAAGGAGTCATGAATGTTTATGTAAAAATCAAATACAAAAACATAGACCGAAAACGGAATGAGATAGGTCACATGTTATAGTACGTTTTTGTTTCTTTTGACATGCTGAATATCGTGACAAATTTTGTTCATATTGTTGCAAGACACCCTTGTATAGCATTTACAGTAGCTGATCCATATCACAGTACATAATACTCCTTATCAGCCAATTGGCTTTTCTTTAATTTCTAAGATCCCTGTAAAATATTCATTTACACCATGATACTGTATAAGATAACCCTACATAGTAATGGGCAACAATGATAAAATATTTTTTAGGTTTCAAAATTACACTGTGCTTTAATTTGTTCACAATATTTAGGCGGTTTTAGGGGAAGAAATATATCCCCTCTACTCGACCCCTAACTTTAAAATTATAGCTTAAATAGCTGATCAAGCAACTTACATCAAATAAATACAAAAAAGTGGTAGAACTTCCCTTCAAACTGCCTAAATATTGTGAACAAAGTATAATGGTAGATGATAATATAGATAGATAATAATTAAATATCTATCACAAACAGTAACAGAGAAGATGTTGAAATGCAAATCAGACTCACGGCAGCAGAAAAATCATATTTTGACTTAATAAAATTTATACATTCTTACCACCAAGACTGTGTGTACAAAATAATACAAAGGTTACGTACTTCTGTCTGTTTTCAGTCTTGAAAATAGTCTGGGGATGACTAGTTTCAGGTCAAAGACCCATTATCAAATCCACATCAAATTGAAGAGCTTATAATCCGACGGAACAGAAGTCTTCATCAAAACGTACATATACACGAGTCGACACAAAGTTCAAATTTTCACACGGATATGAGTACATAACATTCAACTTACATTTAAAAAGCTATAGGCAGGCCACATTCCTTCACGCACAGGACAAACCGACACAGGAACTATGGATTTGTCCAGGGACGTAACTAGGGGGGGGGGGGGGGGGGGCACGCGGGGCTCCAGTTGTTGGGGGCGCCAACACGGGCACATATTTCTTCAAACAAAAATTGTTGAAAATATTTTTAATCCGTCTTGCAAAAGAAAATCAATATATTTTTTTATAAGTCTAAGAAAGTACAAAGTGAAATGATGAATACTATCTGACTGTTATTATACTGTTTACAAATCATGTTAACGGTCCGTATGAACTTGTACGGAGCGAGAATGAGGATGAGCATACTGCGTTGTCTGTCGTCGAAGAGTCACTAGGACGGCGCCGACGCGGTGTCAGAACACTTCCACCCCTCTCTCGGCAACCACCTACCCCTCCGCTCAACCATCCCTCACACCAGTCACCACACACACACACACAGACACACATACCACAGACACAACACTAACACATCCACGGCGACGCTCGCTCGCTGGCCTGACCCATCGATATACAACACGTCTGACCTTGACTAACTGCGTATATTGAGCACTAGTGTAGTTGACATCAGTTCATAATGGCGTTTGCCGTGCATGTAATAAATAAGCAAATAAATAAAAATTCTTCGTTCTACTCGATATCAGTGGTTCAGGACACGAAATGTGGTTGCGGTGCTGTTTTTTTGCGTGTTACTAGCAATATTATTTTCGTGAATGATTTCGTTTTCAAATGAAGTATTTGTCTTTGAAAATTTGTACCGTACTGTATTCAATAACTTGATGTTAAGCATTTTAAGATCTAATAAATAGTATTAATGTATTGTACCGATGGACACACACATTTTTTAAGAAGATTTGTATGGAATTAGTTTTAGTCCAATTGAGGGGGGGGGGCGCCAAAATGGGCTTTTGCCCCGGGTGCTGAATAGCCTAGTTACGTCCCTGGATTTGTCCACAATATTTCTAAGGGGGTTTTAGGGGAGGGGGAATTTAACCTAAAACTGCCTAATATTGTAATCAAATCCATAGTTCCTGTGTCGATTTGTTATTGTTTGTCGGACACGATGGAACTGTGGATAGTTCCATCATGTCCGCCATACAAACTGTGTCGGTTAGTCCAGTATGTGAACGAAAGTGGCCGGCCAATAGCTTTTTAAATGTATATAAATGTGCTTGTATCTATGTGTAAATTTTAGCTTTATGTGTCGACGCGTATATATACATTTTGATGAAGACCTCTGTCGGATTATAGACTCTCGAGTTTGATGTGGATTTGATAATGGGTCTTTGACGCGGGATAAGGTACGTAAGTTTTATACGGTTTATAAACTTGTTCTTTCTCTAAAAAATCCCAGAGAATAAAAAAATAGGGAGTTGAAGGAATTTCATAGAGAACTAGATAGGTACCTATTGTGGGTGTGGCAAGTAGAAGGTTGAGATAGCTGGGCCACATTCAAAAGACAGGTGAGAGAGAGATAGTAAAGCATGTGATAGGAGGTACTATGGAGGATAGGAGACCATTGGGAAGACCAAGGATGCAATGGATTAATAAGGTTACAAAAGTCCTAAGGAGAATGGGAGCAAACCTAGAGCTGGCAGAAGATGGACGATCCTGGAAGCACATGGTTGGCGAGGCCAAAGACCGCCTAGGGTTTAAATGGCCACAGGAGTGCGTAAGTAAGTAACAGTAGATAATATAACGGCTGTGATCTCGGGTGATATTCATGATGACATTATAATAAAATATAAATCCACACTAAGCCAAATTTATTTCTACTGAAGCTAATGGTTACTCATTTGTCTCAGGTAGGCTAATCTGTTAGATACTAGAGAACCCGCGCGGCTCAATGAGCCGCATAGTATGAAACATAACGCCAAGGAAAACGTTATGCTTAAATTTGAATAAATAGTTACATCGTAGAGTTGTTTAAACACTTGTTAGAAAACTAATTTTAAATATCTCTATTTGTTTCGTCAAGGTTCACCTACATTATTTCTGCTATCAGTCTTAACTGATAACTTCTAATGAATGCTAAACGATCTGTTTCAATTCGAGCTAACCTTTGCAACAAAGTTTTTCCAGCATTGAGAATTTAAGGAAACTGTTGCCTAGACATCCCCCTAATGGCCCTAATCAAACGAATTTTCTCCCTAGAGAATCCTGAAAAGTGAAATGATATCAACCATTTAATGTGATCCATTTTTTACCCACAAACTCTGGGTTATCAACTGGAAAGCCATAATCTGCTTTGAATAGGCTAAAGCAGCAACACCATTGATAGTTTGTTAACGTATTTTAACGTGTTGTGTGTTAGTCACAGTATATGACCCGCACCAGTCATTGGGGTTTCTCACGTTGTTCATTGGGGTTTCTCTTAATAGGCTACCTGTCCCAAAGTTTTGAAAGTATGGATTCATTTGTCGAAATAGGTTGGATAACTCTTGTAGCTATAAGATTTGGATAGCAATTTTCATTTTCTCTTTTTGAACAGCGTATATATTATTTGCCTCTCCTGAATAATAAAAAAAACTTGACTGTAACTACTCGATCGTTGAATACATAAACACTAATTCCTTCACTTATGTCTAATATTGCCACTAAAATTCAGTCAAAAAAACTTTGTATAAGTTTTTCCGAAGAACTGGCAACATAAACTAGAAGTAAACAATCCATTTGTGTTTTTCCTCAATAAAGTAGATCGAGTAATACAAAAGTTTACAATAAAAACATAAGATTTGGTATAATCTTACTAATTAAACTTATCACAGTCAAGGCATTATTATTGTTTGTACAACATTTTTTGAGATCTGTCAGTGTCAGAAGTAAACATTTCTCACGTGCATTCATTTGATCTGACATTAGGCAAATTTATTTCACCATCGTGACAACACTATGTGCGTTGTATATTTTTACACTTCCAATGTAAGTTGCATAGCAGAACTGGCAAATATTATTCATCTCACCAAGTGAATGTGTATATGGATGTGTATCTGTTAGAACAGGCCTCTCTTTCTCTACTCTCCTTATACGCATAAGATGCCTTATTGTCTCCTCCTTCCGTTTTCAATATTTCTTTTTGAACTCCAGGCATTTTCCGTTCTTCCAACAAAACTGATTTGTTTAACTTGGTCTTAACCTACTGAATATTAAAATATCAATATTTACTCTCAAAAAAGCTAATGAGTTTCTTTTTATAAACAGCTGTTTTTTGTTTTTAAATTTGTTCTGTGTTCTTCTTATGGGGAAACCCCGACCTTTGAGAGGGTCTCGCGCCCTTAAGAGTAGACATCTTAACGTTCTAAAACCTTATTGCAAAACTACATATTGAGACGAATCTTTTGACACCTTAAACGTTGAAATTGGTCCACAAATAAGGGAGGAGTTGCGTTAACAAAATACGGCTTCACGCATTATATATATAGATAGATTATATATAAGTTAGGTAGGCTATATCATTTACTGTTATGTCTGTTGAGCTATTATGAATGTTTAGTCTGTGTTTAACATTAGACAACAATGTAGCAATGAGTTTAATAGATCACCACTAGTGATATGAGTAGCTATTATTAACTAATTAATTAGGCCTAAATAAAACCTTTTTTTTTATAAAAACCATTTTGAATTACACTTTTAATTAGCCTGCAAGCTGTAAATAATTAAAATGCAATTAAATTTGTTTTTATTAAAATGTTTAGTTTAATTGGTTAATAATAGTTACCCTTACCCAGATCAAACAACTGATTTTTCCGTTTCCAACAATTGTAAAAAACAAGTTTGCATCTTTATTACATCGAAATTCAAACAAGTTTATGCATTTCAACTCACTCTTTCATTTAGGCTGATACCAATAATTGGCAAAGCCATGTAGGTACGGATGTAATTTCATCAAACTTACCAACATTTGCATTTTTTTGGTTTAGCCTTGCTCGGTCCCCATATTTTTTTCGGAATGGAAAAATGTTGTAGCAATTAGTTCAAGCACCATCCTCCTAGTTATTAGTTACATCTACTGTAGATGTACTGTTGTAGAAATCTTTCACCCATGCTGCTCAGCAATCCAACCTGGTAAAACATATGAATGAGTTAGATGATCTCTACTACATACATTGACATCCAGACAAGTTTTTTTTTTTTTTTTTTTTTTTTTAATCAACTCATTCATTTAAGATCCGTACGAAGCTGAGAATATTGATAGTAAGTTTAATGCTTTCAATAGTACATTAAGGTATCATTTTGACATTGCATTTCCAAAAAGAATTAAAAAGCTCGATTCAAAAAACAAAAGACGAATTTCGTTTTCAGCTGAACTTTTAAAGCTAAAAGAACAATGTCTTGTATACTATGAGAAGACAAAGCACCTCAACTCTGATAACGTTCTAAGACAATACTATCTGAGATTAAAAAATGAATATAGAAAACTAATTAGAGAATTAAAGACGAAAATGGTAATTGCCGAGATTGAAGAATCAGACAGTAAAACTAAAGGTATTTGGAAAGTAATAAATGAAAACAGACCAAGAAAAAAGACGGCAATGGATAGTATTTGTATTAAGGATGACAGTGGTGGTGTAACCATTACTAATCCCAATGAAGTGTGCAACAGATTTAACAGTTTTTTTGCTGAAGTTGGTAGCTATAAAAACAAAGGTGCGAGAAATCCTCCTAACTCCTGCAATTTAAACAATAGAAATATAATATCGTCATTTTTCTTGAAACCAGTGACTGAAGAAGAAATCAAAAGCATTATCAGTGAGCTAAAGAATAAAAGATCCTCAGGAGTTGATGAAATATCTCCGAAACTACTGAAAACCATTTCAGGTCTGATCTCATCACCACTCTGTCACATGATTAACTGCTCCTTCGTTGAGGGAAAATTCCCTTCCAATCTAAAACTGTCAATGGTAAGACCCGTTTTCAAGAAAGGGGACAAAACCAGCTGCAATAACTACAGGCCTATTAGTTTAATATAAACCTTTAGTAAAGTATTTGAGAAAGCAATGGTTAATAGATTATGGAGTTTCCTAGAGTCCCAAAACATCCTATATGAAAACCAGCACGGATTTGTAAAAAACAGATCGACAACCAGTGCCATGGTTGGTCTCATAAACAGAGTATCAATTATCAATTATTTAAGATGGGGACGCCACTATGTGCGTATTTTAACCCAAATATGAGTGAAGGATGAGTGTAGGATGAGTGGCGCGATCTTGTAGTCTTGTTAGTGACTAAGGCCGACATGTTCCTTAGACACAGCTGTTAATTAATAGCCCATACAGCTAATGGCAACTAAGGGACCTACAGTTTATAGTGGAATCCGAACCACATTTTTCCTTGTAATTTACGAATTGGTCTAATTATCAGGATAGTACTGCGGATAGTCGTAGTACTCACTAGTGCGGACGTTAATCCACACCAGTGAGCATCGCATCCACAGTGCATCCCTATAAATATCCACAATTCGTGACCTCCTAGTAGCTGGATTACAGGACGACGCCACCCGTCCCAGTCTGGTCATATCCCAGAGTGGTGAGGGATATGGATTCACGTCAGAAAGTAGCAGGGATGTTCTTTGATTTTAGCAAAGCTTTTGACCTCGTGAACCATGATATACTGTTGAGAAAAATGAATGATCTGGGCATTAGAGGAGTAGCTCATGCTTGGTTTTCTTTGTACCTGAAAGACAGGCGACAGTTTGTTATGATACCAGCTGTAAATAAAAGTGGCTACTTGCAGAACCATTCCTCTTCAGAAGTCCCAGTCAGGAGAGGTGTGCCCCAGGGTTCCGTCTTGGGTCAGATTCTCTTCCTTATCTTCATAAATGATGTTCCATCCAGCTTGAATCTTGCAAACATATGCCTTTTTGCCGATGACACTTCTATCACCATTTCAAATCCCAGTATTCAGGCCTTATTTCTTGAATCCAACTGCATGCTTCAGTGGTGTGAGGATAATGAACTAATCTTAAATGCCAAAAAAACCACACTCCTTCAATTTAGCATTGCTCAGCATCGCACATCCACGGACATACATGTTCTTCTTGATGATACCACTATTTCCCCCTCCCCAGATGTAAAGTTCCTTGGTTTAATTCTAGACGAGAACCTCAAATTTCACAAGCATATCGATCACGTTTCAAACAAGATATCTGTTGGGATTTTCATGCTCCGCACTCTTAAACATACTGTTTCGTGTGAGGTCCTCTTGACAGCCTACTATGGACTAGTTTATCCTTATCTGACATATGCTGTACCTGACTGCGGGTGTGAAAGCCAAAGGACTCAGTTCATATTCAGGCTTCAAAAAAAGGCTCTCCGAACTGTTTTTTCCCTTCACCGTCGTCAATCCTGCAGAGATGTCTTCAGATCACATAAAGTTCTAACTTTCCCTTCCATTTACATTTTAGAAACATTATCATTTATCAAGAAAAACCAATCATCATATAGCTCTCCAAGTATCCATAGTTATCGTCTCCGCAACAATTTCAATCTTTCAGTACCTCGACACTCAACCACTTTCTTTCAGAAAAATTTCCACTTCAATGCAGTAAAACTTTTTAATGACCTCCCTCTCCCTTTGAAAGCCGAACAGGACATCAGAAAATTCAGGAAATTAGTTAAGTCCATGTTGATAAATAAGGTCTGCTACAGCGTGCGGGAATTTCCTGGTAGTCTTTAACCTTATTAAACATAAAAGAAAACAATTTGTATATAACATATTTAGTAGTTAATTAATTTCATAAAAATATAATCTCTTGACTTGGCCAATGCAATGTATTGTTAATCTGGTTGAATAAAGGACTTTGACTTTGACTTTAAGGCTGATAACAATAATTGGCAAAGCCATTTAGGTTAAGATTGAATTATCCTACATTAAAACTTACCAACAGATGCACTTGTTTGGTTTAGCCTTTCTAAAATCTGCCTTGCTCGGTCCCCCAATGAAAAAAAAACTTTGTGGCGAGCAGGTCAACCACCATCCTCCTAGTAGACATAGGCCTACTGTTGGATGTCCTTCAGCAATTCAACCTGGAATACATATGAGAGAGTTACACTAAAATGGAGCCATGGTAATTTATTACTGGCACTTGGTTGCATTTGTTTAAACCCAAAGATTATATATGTAGCAGACAACAGTTTTCCATTTAAGTTATGCGTAGGCTGTACAGAAAAGCTTATATTTACGGTAGGCTACTTTATATTTTATTTTTATTATTTCTTTTTTAAGAGGTTGGCGGCCTCTTTTATCCACAAAGACTACAGATCTGGATGTGGAAAGTATCTAGCAAAGCAAGGGGTGAACCGGTACAGTACGACGGTGAACTGAACTGATAAATTTTAGTGGCAGTAACCAGGATCCGGACCCACGACATCGCTGCCTTGGGCCCGAAGTCCGGATTCTACCAACTGAGCCACAGACTCTATAAGACTGTTGATACTGAACAATGAAAAATTATTGTAGTTGTCACTTTGAAGTGACCTTAAGTTAAATAACGGAAATGTAAGTTAGCATAAAAGATGGACAAAATGCAAATCCGTATATTAAAAAAATCAACATGAAACTGGCAAAAGATCAGCCATGTTTCACGTCCATCTTTGACAATACCATACTAGTTACATAGACTATAACTTACTAAAATATTTGCTAACTTATAACCTACCGGTACCTAGAGTCGAAGAAATACAATTCAGGCTTCACAAGTGAGTCTTAATTTAGTCTTGCAAATAGCCATTTTAGTTATACGTAAGTTATTTAAGTCCGTCACTAACCAATAGCTAAAACTGAATTTTTGTTACTGGGTTATGGTGCCAGTTAACTTAATTCCCTAAGCATTAAATGATCATGGTAGACTAAATAGGTTATCAGTAAGATGTCCACAGTGAAGCTTAGCCTAGGCACTCTCTGATACTACCTTGTCTGGACAAAAATTTAGAGAAACTAACTATGTAATGCTTCTATAGGCTATGTCTAACCCACGAATACAGTACTAAATTAACTTAGAACAGGAACAGGCCAATGATAGGCTTTAAACGAACAGACGCGGTGTGGATCATAAACTTAATGTCTATGTTAATGCTATAAAGTTAAGAAGATAATAGGTCAGTAGCACGAATACTTTCGTGAGGGTCATTTTGTTGTTCAATTATTCGTGGTGTAACAATTACTTGAAAAAATACATTTAAATTTATCTGCGTTCAACTTTATGAAGGGATTAATTGACGCAATTTATGTTTGTTACTTTCAGATTTATGTTGGCTATATTCATAGAGACAATGCCTAGACCAAACTACAAAATAGGCTTAAGTTACTTAATAAGTTAATAAATACATGGGCAATTTGACATTAAGATAAGAACTGAAATCTAAGCTGAATACAATGAATTTATTTGGCCAATCAACAACAACATTGTTACAGGCTATGTCAATGTAGGTACAAGCATGATCTACAAGTAAGATGTTCTTTAAGCTGAGCAATGTTCTTGAAGCTGGTTCTTTAATCTGTAGTTTTTAGTTTTTGTTACCAAAATCAAACTTACGTATTGTTGCTGATAAAACTCGATTCGTCAAATGATATAGAGAAATAATAATTAACTTAGCATATTTTGTGAAAATAATTTACTGTACATATATCATTAATATTAAGTTGAACAACAATAGACTACTTGATTATACAACTGTACTTAACTTGTTAACTTACTTGTCTGCAACTCTGCAAGTGCAAAGTGTGTAAATATTAAAAGAAGTGCGTGTCGGCGTCGGCTGCTTCCAATCCAAACAAAACGTAAACAACACAGTCACGTGACACAGCACCACTTGCGACGTTGCCAGTTCGATGGCCGCGGCCTGTAGTTAAAGGCGGCCGTGGGACAGCCGTACGCAAATGCCGTGGCGCCACGGTAGCGTCCCACGGCCACAATCAGCCGTGTAGTGTAAACAGTTTTCTGGTCAAAGCATCCATTAAACACAACCCAGACAACAAGTATGTAAATAATTATTGAAACCTCCATTGCAATATCAAGCTCAGCGCATTCCTACCATTCATGGCTATCAAATACATAAATGTGTCAATCAATTGATACCAATTAATACTATTTTGGTTAAAACATCCGTAGATCTTTCTTTAATCATGATCAGAAACAATCGATAAAATACTATTTAATATAGTGTACTTTCAAAGCAGTTATTCTGTGGACTGTGGAGTCGATAGTATTTTAACCCATACGAGAAGAGACTTGAGATGAGAGGGAGAATGGAAGGAAGGAAGCAGTCGCAGTGAAGCACTAGAGTAAAAAAAAACAAAGCTAATAAAGCATTGGTGTGGTGTTGGTTTGGTGCTGTAGTTGTACAAGTGCCGCCATTTTCCGAGTTGTTAAAGGTAAACAGTTTTACTTCATTGGGAACAATTTTGGCTATTTCATGTATTTGTGTTCCTTTTGTATTTTTACGTTTTACATTTTATAACTGTATGGAGCTGCCTATTTCCAGACAAAATACCGTCAGAAATAGGAACAAGTCTATCAGGTATTCCTCTTGCGGCATTGAGCCGGTAATTTACAGCAGTAACTTATCATTTCGTATTCATTCTTTACTTAACTTACAAAATGCCAATTACCTAAGCTTACTTTACTAACAATTTATACTAACATGTTAACGACTCAGTTCAATAACAATTGACCAGACTTCAATCCAAGGTCAATGCATTACCGCGGCTGCGGCAGGCTGGCAGGCTCATTGTAGTTTGTTTTTGATTTGACCGAAGTAGGCCTATGTCCTAGATAGGATAGCTGCCAAAGGAGCCCGAATTAAATAACCGAAAATAGAATGCATAACCTAGCCTAGCCTACCTTATGCTAAGCCTAGTTCCTGGGCTAACATTTCCAAATAAATTAGGCCTAGGCTTAACTTACCCATCCTAGCCTTAATTGTTGTTTAAATGTCAAGTAAGTTAAACTTAACTTAAGGCTAGGCTTATTAGTGTGCAGTCAAGCTACTAAGTTAGACCAAGTTTAGCCTACCTACCTTGAAGTTTAGTACTTAGTATGAAACGTTCATTCACAAACTAGGCAAAAGTCATTGTCAATTTTTGTTTTTCCCATGCTTTTCTGTAGTTGATAAGTTAGGCCTACCTATCTTACTGGTAATCTCTAGCCCAGGCCTAGCTAAGTAGATAACTACACCAGTTGGCTAGGTTTACAGTTTAGCAAATATTTACTGTAGGCTATTTAGATTGGGATATGATGTTATTTTTATATGTCTACTTACAGTATTTTTAACCCTTAGAGTGCCAGGCGAGAAATAAAAGTAACGCTCAAAAAATGCCGATGATTTTTCCCGAAGGTCGCGCTAAAAATGCCGAGCGCGATCTGGCGATTTTTAGGTTAAAATTTCGTAAAAATCGAATTTTTGATATTTCGACCAACGAAAATCGATGTATCGCATCTAGTAACTTTCGATTTAATGTTAATATATGGGTTTAAAGAATCCGAGTATCCATTCGGTTGTTATGACAACTGTTAGATCATTACGAAACGTCCGGTCAGCCGGACGTTGGCACTTTTGGCTCGTTTTAAAAACGTCCGGTTCCCCGGACGTTGGCACTCAAAGGGTTAACGCTGAATCCAAAAATGCAATCAGTTTTGGTCGGAGAGATTCCTAAGTTGCCGTAGTGGCCGTAAAACGAAGCTTAGGATTACGAATCTAAGGATAATTGAGCGGTATTGAAGGTAATGATAATATGGCGTGGTCTGGACTGGACGGGTCCGTACTGGGTGAGGAGTGAGGAGGACTGAGTGAGAAGAGCAAACAACTGTTTATACTTGATCTAATGCGGAATGAAATCAAATCAATTCGTTTTGATTTTTGAAACCAAATAATCAGTTCTTACTTAGGCATGTGAGGAAGGTAGGTTGGGTTTTATGCGGATTCGTGACTGTATTAAGTCTTTTGAAGTGAGGTTAGGTTATAATGAACCGACTCATTAATTTATGCAACTTCCAGACTGTTTTTGCACAATTAAATAGTGGGTGAAACACAATGAAATAACGATATCAAAAATGCGCAAGAAGCAGTGCCTGTGCGACCAAAAATTTAATTATTCGCAAACCGTTTAAGAAAACTTTCAAAATGTTTATGACAAGTTTCCTATATGTCTCAAACATAAAAAAAAACTGTGTATAAGGTAAACTGCCCAAATACCGTGACCTTAAGGGATGTTGCTATACATTTTTAGTTATACCAAAATATTATGAATAAAAATATGAAACATTTTAATTACTGTTTTTCCCCCTATGAATTCCTGAACAAAACGATGTGGCTATGTTTGAATGAATACTAAAAAATACCCCCGCCGCAGCAAACCTGCAGACTAAGCGAATTTCCATTTGACTGATTGGATTTACACTGAAATGTCTACTTAAAAATATAACATTTATTCTTGATTTAAATAGAATTAGTTTAACAAGTACTTAGGTTTGCTGCATCAGGGAGGGTAAAACTTTTTTTTTTGTAAAATGTGAATAGGTAGTGAGAAATAAAAACATTTTCCAAATTTGATCAAAATATGTTCACAAACAAGCAAACTACAACAGTTTACTTATTCTCCATAAGAATAACATGGGAATTTTAAATTTACAATTTTGTGGAATTTTCTCCGTAACTATTAGGCGCATAATAACGCTTCAATATACTAAATTATTCGTTTTTTTAAGCTCTACAAAATGGTTTGGAAAGAAATTGCTAAATTTTATGTTTTTTGGGTCAAAAATAGGAAAAACCTATTTTTACCCCATAAAACCCCCCGTAAACCCCCGTTCCCATGGTCCGATCATGCTGGATCGCGAACTCGTTCGAATAAACGTACGTTTACACGTTTGTACCAAATTTCATCCAAATCGGATCATTTTTGCTCGAGTTATCGTGCTGACGGACACATATATATATATATATATATAAATATATAAATATATAAATATATAAATATATAAATATATATATATATATGAATTTGAACGGATGGTGTTTTTGGCCTCTAGGGACCTCAAAACGAAAAAAAAAATCGGTCCCGCGTCCAGGTCTTACCATGAGTACTACGGTAATAGCTTATTCCCTATATGGGAAATTCGCTAAAAACAAAATATTTAATAAGTAAAATACCCGTAGGCCTCATTTGATCATCACGGCCTAACTCCGTGATTCACGGAATTAATGCCGTGATTTTTTTTCCAAAGTCTGTGATGTGACTTAGTAAAACCTACCAAAAAATTGTGTTTGGCAGCTGTTTTATGACTAAAAAGTAACTAAACACAAGAAGAAAACTTTACGTAAGCTACCAAACCTTCAATTTAGTCTGCTGGAGCACAGAGCACATCACACAGCAAAATGCTACTGCTACTGCATCATACATTACATAGAGAAAGGAAATAAGTACACAGAGAAGTCTAGCTGAACATTAGCTTTGGGCTATGTGTAAAAAAAATTTAACAAATCATTAATGTACAAGGACGGAAACGAAATTAGTTTACATAGATAGCTGAACGCTATATGTGTAAGAAATAAACAAATCATAAATGTACAAGGACGGAAACGGAATTAGTTTACATAGATAGCTGAACGTTAGCTTTATGTGTAAGAAATAAACAAATCATAAATGTAAAAGGGCGGAAACAAATTAGTTTACATAGATAGAAGAGAGCTGAACGTTAGCTTTAAGTGTAAGAAATAAACAAATCATAAATTTACAAGGACGGAAACAAAATTAGTTAACATAGATACAGTAGTAAGATTAGGCCTAATATTTACATGAACACATGCTGTACTTCATTTTAAACAAACAAATTTAGAACCTAACTTGACAATAAATTATGCATACACAAAAGAACGAAAATTAGATTAGTAAGTATTTAGATTAGATTAATAAAGTTTAACCAAACCAAAACAGACTTAAACTTTATATTACACTACGTATAACACCACACTTTTTGCCCATGCTGTGATGAGGCATCCTCAGTGGTAAAGCTGAGACTAGAATGCCAGGGTGAATCATTGTTATTTTACTCATACTGTGGCATGTGAGAGGGGGTTTTAATCTCGCTAGGCAGTCCCTGGAATGTACATGACTCATGCAGGGGGGTCACATTCCATGGATTGCCTGGCGAGATTACTCCTCTCCCACATGCCATAGTATGAGTAAAATAACAATGATTCACCCTGTCCTTCTAGTCGCAGCTTTACCACTGAGGATGCCCCATCACAGCATGGGTAAAAAGTGTTGTATTGTACGTAGTGTATAATAAACTGAATAGGCGCGACTCTCACTGAAAAACTGAGAACCCAGTGATGACATCGACTGCTTTAGCCTACTAATGAAAACAATATACAACAACGCCTAAAAGATAAATAATCTACATGCTTAAATGTATCTACATGCTTACAAGATAAATAATCACAAAAATGTATTTTGTGATAAATAATCACAAAATACATTAAGCGACTAGAAATAAATGAAAATCCACATGCATAAAACTGAGCAACAAGACAATTAATGGGACTAGAAATAGGTAAACAAAGGAATAATTTGAACATCTAAAAAAAAAAAAAACATTTACATACATGCAAGGGATTATTTTACCATAGATAAAACATAGTTATGTTTGATCTATAATTTTACGAAGATGGAAAAACACTCAAAATGATGAAAAGTCAGTAAACGTCAGGTAGCCCCATCGGTCGAAGTTTGGTTCTCTTAATATGCGTACTATTTCCTTGACTTGAACATTGTCCACATCATCGTTGATTGGCCACTTGAACTTCTTTTTTTCCAAGAAACTTTCCAAGAACTTAACCGTTACACTTTTTGCA